TACGAATCTAAAAGAGACGTGAAGCACACCGCGCTTCGAGAAAACCAATCGGCACCGCGGAAAGGGGGCCTCAACTGTTGGATATTAACGACATTTGCGGTAACATCTCATTTTTAGAAAGGGACAATGTAAGAAATTACAGAAATCTCATTGTTTTCTCTTCTAATACTTGATAAGAATTCTTGTAGAAATTTAGAGTTAATCTTTAGCACCAATTCTCAATTTCCTTAAATTAACGATGTTGCCACTCAAATTCTCAACTTCGCTTCTGTCACGGTGACTTCTTTTCGTTTATTATTTAAAGCTGGACGCGTATCGCGGGAGGATCGTAGTACAACTTTTAGATCGCGGCAGAACGGAGTCTCGGTTTCTGTGAGACGAGAATAATAAGATTGTACGGGACACATCGGTCTCCTACTTCGTGCCCTCTCTACGTAGACAAGCCTTCATAGTATCGCGTGGTCTGACGACCCAACCGAGGGCGACGTGTTACACGGCGAAAACCGAAAATGTCTGTCGTCGTCATGCCGGTCACGTAGTTATCGGCCGCTATCAGAGGAACGGGTTCTTTGAATCGCTCGAGATCCTTATTTTTTCCCCGCATCACCGTACGAGTTTCAAGGAAACGACTCCTGCTTTGCAACCGGCTGTACGGCCCAGGCGTGACCTCTCGTCTAGGTTTCCATCCCGCGGAAAATAGTCTCGAATAGCTTCGCTACGGATGGCACGCGACACATAAAACGCGATTTAGGACGTTTTAAAATTGCCGGCGGCACGTAGCAACAAAGCGAGCAAGGCCGTAAGAACGAAACTTTATCTCTTCATTACTCTTCTTGAAAGTAACAAAGCGCCTTGTACGTGTCTGGATAATTTTCTCAGGCAAAAAGTTAAGAAAAACCAAGGATTCAAACGTGACAACGCGAGCCGAACTTTTAGGCCCGACTTACTTTTTTTTTTGTTAGCCAGTTAATTTAGAATAACTGTTTCTTGAAAATCGAATTAACTTGACGGAAATAATTTCTTATAAAGATACGGACCGCGCGATACAAATGCATGTAAAAATGGAAATAATTATAGAGTGCTCTTAAACATTGTAATTGTGTCTGTACCGTAAGAATGAAGCACCAACACAAAATATGTGTATGTGCTCCTGACGCCTCTCGCGAAAAGGCCAGGTGCGAGCTTCGGCTAGGAGCTCCGAGGAATTTGACCTCTTCGGGTCAATTCGCAACCCGTTGCAGGCCCCAAAATTGCTGCGGAGGCCGCGCTTGATCAAGATCCGCCGTTAATCCATCCCGGGGTTAAGGAACACCACCGGTCTTCGTTTTGCCTCGCCTCCGCTCAATTAAATTCTACTTCAGGGAGATTATTTCATAAATCACATCCTGTCCCGAACGCACGCGCAGACGTCCCCCCCATCCATTTTCTCACCCACTTGCTCCTTCGCCACATAACAATTTGCTACTATTATTTGAAGGACGGGACAAAGGCAAGATCATTAGGATCCGTTAACCCAGTATCGATTACACTCATCGGTTGATACACATATTCTGTCTACGGCCTCAGCTAATTCTTATACTTTTCATTTTTACCTTCCTATCCCGTATTATTGACCCATAAAGCGTTCCCAGAGAACAGAATTCCATCCGAAGCAGATCTGAGAAAATGCACGTCAAAGCAGGAAATAGATTTCCAAGTATGTAATATCTTTATTTGTTCGCATCGCGTCGCAGAATTCCAGCTCAGGGGTTTAGCTCGTCACGCTTGAGGGATAATGAGAGAAGAAATACGCCGGTTATGCAATTCGCGAAAGAAGCGAGGAGCCAGTCGTCCGTACGATAAAAAAAAAACCCGCACGCTCGCATTCTTGCATACCCATGGATCGATCGCCGGCCACGGCGCGGTTGAGGGAAAATTCTCCGCGTTTCATGGGTGTCTCGGTCCAGCGCGGCGGCGACGGCGGCGCCCAGCGACGATGCCCCGATGAGATTCCGCGATGAGGTTCGCGTGTCGCGGCATTTAATTATTTTCACGTCGAAATTTCGCGCTTGTGAAACGACGCCTACCACTTCTCGCTCCTCGCCCTCGCGTCACGGCGGCGGCATTACGGTATCCGGGTACCGATCCTACGTAACAATTTAATAGCATAGTATCTCCAGCCGACACCACCTGGCGGTCAGGTATGCCACATCAAAGTCTTTATTAGGCCCGATTGAACGTTACTTGCGGCCCCACTTGTTCGTACGCTGCCGTGCAACGTCGGCGACGGCAGAACGTCCACTTTTCGTCCCATCTTCGTACACACCAAAGTCCCGCTTGCATTGATTAATTCTTATCTATTATCTTGAGAAACGCTATATTTATTATATGTAATCTTTGATATTTAATTTTGATATTTGATATTTAAAGACCCGAATCCAAACTTCAGGATCGGATTTAGTATTTTTGAATATGATGGTTCCTTTCTTTCTTTCCTTTGTGGAGGTTTGCTCTGGGATTTGATGGTAGTTAAATACACTATTTGCACAGTTAATTAATCCATTGCCAGGATTTGTTAAGTTAAGGCCCGACAGTCCGCGATTCGTACTGCACATGAGTGTCCGTTCGGACGACCAACACATGGTATATATATCCACTGTTTTTATTAAAATTTATCCTGAAAATATTGTAATCATGGGACAATGGCATTTCAAAGAATTTTATGAGTTTTTTGAAATTTTACCATACATTTTACCAGTAAAGTGTATGGTAAACTTTCAAAAAAACTCTCATAAAGTTGTACAAAGTGCCATGTTGTTTCAAGACTTTCAGGGTAAATTTTAAGAGAAAATTCTCTCAAAAATCTATAAATAATAAATTAATGTATTGTAAATTTAAAAAATATTTAAAAAACCGGTGTTGATGTGAATTCTCCGAAATTTTTGGCTTTCCATCATTACAATTCAATCATCTGATCGCCGTCTTGATAAAATATTCAACTCCGTGAATTTGACACAAACGTTACGCATTTTAATTCTACAAAATGAGTTCACCGGCCAACGCAATTGCCATTTGTCATTTTGCGGCAGTTACTTTTCGCTCGCGCAGCTCTGAAAATCGGTGACAGGACGAAGATGAATATATCGAGTCGCGCCAGCTGAGGAACGAACGTTGTCGATGCGCCGACAAAGCCGCCTTCTCGCCACTCACGGTAAGCGACTTTAAAGTAGACGGAGCGTCTTTATACACGCACGCTCTCGCATACACGCGATGCACCGACGTCGCACCGATATAATTCAATATAATGTAGGGACCAGCGACATTATCTGGTCCGGCGCAGTCAACTCGGACTCGGGCTTCGATTAATCTCGACTCGATCTCAACGAAGCGCGGATTTATAGTCTCTATTGCCAGAGGCACCAAGTCCCCCCCACTCAAACCTGTTTTTCGACGAACTCATTTCTTTTCCGCGGTGAGTTTTCTTCTCCCTCTTTTCTTTCTCGTCAAATATCTCCCTTGCCGCGAGATTCTATTATATCTTTCCGATCCTCCGCTGATCGGCACTCGTGTGTGAATTCCAGGCGAAACCATCCACCCTTTTTATTTTCCACCTTTCGATTCTCACATTTTCATCCTCGCTAGCTTCCGAGAAGTTATCTCGTTAACGTCGCCTTTCGCGTTACTTAAATTTTTCCGCGCGTGTCGTGTGTACGTGTAGATACATACGAGTCGGATGTTGCCCGACGATCCCCTCTCGCATACCGACCCTCCAACAATTGTTCCGGGGCGATTGTGCATTGAATAAAAAAACGTTTAACTTTCTCCGAAACGATATCTGCTACCTCCATCAACATTCCTCGTCGCTGCCATACGTCTCGCGATCGGGCCACAATCGCATGCCGGAAACTTGGCGAGCGGAACGGAGGTAATCTTCAACGTAACGAAACGCCGAATTAGGAGCAAATCAGTAATGGACCGTGAAATCGAGTCTATGAATTTCTCGTTGCCTCGCGTCGTTACGCATTTCGCGTCCCGTGGACCGTGCTCAATCGGTAATTACGACAAGGAGACACCCAACGAACGACACTGCTCCGGCACGTCCTCCTCCGCCTGCGTCGAGACGCATCTCGGGACGCACTCGGGCATTTTCGAAAGGCCGATCGGCGGCTTATTCGTTCTCGTATCCCTCTCTCGTTCCATATATGCAGATCCCGATTGCTCGTAGAATCGATTATCCGCGGCCCGATCGTGACCGTGCACGTTCACGCGATGCACGCGCGCACCGCAACCCCCCCTGGACAAATGAGAGATTCCTGGCTGCCGAGATGTGGCCTCGCCTCGATGTACGCGCTGGCGATTTCAGACTGCACATCCCGACCGTTTCTTTCTACCGCGCGTGCTTTACGTTCCTATCGTTTAACCCTTCGAAGCGTACATTTTTGTGTTGAACCATTTTTCGCTAAATTTTGTATACAAGGGTTTCTGGGGTCGCTGATTACGAATCCGTTGTCAGATTTTCATAATTCCAAACTTAAAAGAGTAACGTCATTCAACTGTAATTCAACTATGCTAAGAAACATTATTTAGATATTATTAGGAACTTTTTCGTCTCGAGTGAATTTCAGATAAACACTTCATTTTAACGGGATTTTAATTTAAATCTCGTGTTGAAAATAACGAGGTATTCGCTGAACAAATACCGCGTTAATATTTAACAGGTTGGATGAGTTTTCTCGGGAGACATTGTACGTGCGCCGCGGAGAAGGAGCGAGAAGGGACATATAAAAAATAATTAAAAAGTCCCGGTTTCTCGGGTGTTCCTCGAGAGCAGCATTCCATCGATAATTATGCAGTGTCTTCAATGTCCGCTTTTTACGCTCGACTTAAAAACGTCCCTGAATCTTGATCGAAACGCCCGCCTCAGTGCACACACGTCGTATAATCATTTCGGAGGCGCGATAAAAAAAATACGTACGTACAATGTGTTACGGGGCAATCGTTAAGCATGTCGTCCGACTTACTTGTAAGATCCGTGAGTATTCTTGCAGTTACCGTGTCTGCACGGGTTCCTCTCACACTCGTTGATGTCGTCCGCGCAATTCGGTCCCGTGAAGCCAGGTGCACACGTGCACTTGTAGCTGTCCTCGAACGAGCGACACTCGGCCCCGTTTTGACAGGGCGACGAGGCGCAGTAATCCTGTCGCTCGCAATGGTCACCTGAAAAATAAAAAGAAACGATGTTGTTCAACGTCTTGCACCGGCGCACATTCTCGTTATGTGTGCACGGCCGAAAACTCACACGCTCTTGCGTCGTTATATTGAGAGCTCGAATCACGATTCAATTAAAAATTACGAGCTCTTCGTCCTGCGTTGCTGTACCTTAATGACTTAATCCCCTTTTATCGTGTCAAACGAATTTTACTTTAGCGCGACTCGAAACTCTTAGTTACGGAAAGTTAATTTAGCAAACTCAAAGATATAACCGTTTTTTTCAACTGTTTTCCCGTTGCTGTTAAATGTATGAGTCTAGGGAGTTAAATGTGTTTAAGAAATTCTACTTAAAATATTTCATAAATCTTGAGCTTCTCTTTTTGATGCTTTCACAATTGATCTCCACGTTTGCATCGTAAACTCGAAAAATCAAATGCACAGAATAACAATAATACTGATCATGATAACGAAAGACAAGAAAATCGTACAGTTTGTACAATTATTATATTTCCAAATCACCATTAGCAGATAAAAGCTTAAGATTAAACGTAATTGGAATCAATCAAGAATTCAACTTTTTAATAAATTAAATACATCATGAGCTATAAGTTATTCCATTAAAATTTACAACAAGAAATTTTATTTGCACACGTGTATAAAAAATTACACGTAGCATTTTAATATACGAAGGATGATCAAGACCCGACAACACTCACATATTTTCTACGAAAGCTTGGACGTTTATTCGCTAGACCATCGTAAAATACTCTTAAAACCTCTAAGGACAAACGTTGCAGCGCAAAAACATAAAAATAACATTTTGTAGATGAAGATCTCGGCGAAGATAAGAATAAATTAGCTCGGCATTTCTTGCTGGCTAGTATTCGGCCCGCGAGTGGAAATATACCTTAAGACGGCGGTAATCCTGGACGATGGAGCATGTATCTGAGGTAAGAGCCTCTCTTTCCCTTCCCTTCGCGGACTACTGATTAGTGGAACTAATTACCGGAGTCGCTACTTGTTCTCTTGTGACCACGATGTCTTTGCTTCTACGATCTGCGCCGTGCAACCGCTATAACTTTAGCGGTGCTCATTGTTCACGATTCAAATATATTTTAGAGAGTTCTTTTCTCTATTAACTCGTTGAAAAATTTCATATATTTTATGGCTGAGGTAATACTTTTCGCAATAAATTTCTTTAATTAGAATTTGCAAGTTGTGTCGATTATTAATTTCCCACATTGGTTAGTTACTTACTGGCGACAATAAGTCTTGTCTATTCTTGTTATATATTTTATGTATCAAAATCATCAAATTTAAAGAGATGTTTTATACATATTTATAAGTAATTCATATCTTGTCTATCTTGTCTAAATTTCGCAGGTGAAAATACTTTCAACAAAGAATTTAATTCAATCGAGCATCTAACTTGGGAAGAACAATTATTAACATATCTGCCAATCAAAATGAATATTGATATATAAAATACGTATTGTCTTAAAATCGAGAAATTATCCCTCCGCGAGCCGTTGCGAGTTCAGTGAAAATGCAGAAAACTGAGCACCACTCGGCCAAAGGTACCGCCACAGCAAAATGCCGCATGGTTCTTCGTCAATTATCCTACGCACACTTCAACCTGCCTTTCCTTCCTTCTTCTACCTCTTTCTCTATTTTTCCTTGCTTTTCTTTCGAAAGTCCCCCCGTGTTTCTAGATTTATTCGTCAAGCATACCAGCGCGTGCTTTGGCACTTTATTCCGAGAAACAATTGTAAAAAATATAACCGTACCGCAGCACGTCATAAAGAAACGTCGAGACCGAGCTATAACTGTAAATTTGCATTGAGTTATTAAAAGGTACTCTACATGTGCGTAATATCGAATCACGGGCTTTACATAATTTTTTTAACTAAACATTATCTTGATACATATTTTTAACGCAATCGTTATCTCATCAAACTTGGACTTCCGTGATTTACGCATAATTGATGAGATGGGGACTGCATAAAAAATGTGTATCAAGATAATGTTCTATTTAAAAAATTGATGTAAAGCCTGTCATCCGACAGTCACACGTACTGCATACATATAGAGTACACTTTAATAGCTCAATGCAAATTTACAGTTATAGCTCGGTCTCGACGTTTCTTTATGACGTGCAGCACAATGCGAACTGGTTAATTGCAACACGTTATCGTCCCGTCTATCTATTAACCTTGCTATTCAACCCACGCGAATCGATAAGCATATTTAAGTATACGATGACTAACATACAGCCTATTCATTGTCGGGCTTACGCAATTATTCCCCTTTAAGAATCCGCATAGTTTTCCTTTAACACTGTTGACAACCGTAACGAGTTGGTTTTGATCATTTGATCGCTGCAACTAGTCATTTACACGGTAATTTTTATCAACGCTCGCAGCGATCCTCGATAAGCAGCCGAGTACGAAATTGCGAATCGACAAATCTTGTTATGCTCGATAAACGTCGAAATAATTTTCGCGCGATCATAGCAGTCCGAATTTACGCAAAATCATAGATTTCAATTTCTGATCGCAAATACGAGGATATGAAATTGTTTACTGACCTGTGTATCCGATGCTGCACGTGCACACATACTCGTGCAACGACTTGAGATTGCATGTAGCGCTGTTGAGACAGGGCGAGGAGTCACAGGCGTTTTCGATTGGGATTTCGCAGAGGCTGGCGGTAAAACCGACGGGACATGCACATGTGAAGGATGGCGTGCCACCTCCGATGCCCTCGCGTACCCTGCATGAACCGCCGTTTTGGCAGCGCGATCCCGTGTAGCATGGGTTCAAATGTTGACAGTATTCTCCCACGTATTTCGATGTGCAGCTGAAACAGAATTATGTCACGATTAAAGAAATCTCGATACCTCCCTCGTTGGTCGTAAATTAAAACGAGCAATATATGTATATAATATTTTGGCTCGGTGGATCGATTTCACGAGAGAATTGCATGATTTTACACACGATACTTCTACCTTTCACTTAAGTAAACGTTTTCACAAGTTGGCAAATTTTTAGAATTGCCAAATTTTTGTACCATACAAATTTCTTACCATAAAAGGGTTTTACATAAATATAACGCTTAAATTTTTACGGAACTATTTTATAAAATCGTTTATTACCTATGATTCTAAAAACGGTTGATAAATTTTTATTCTACTTCTTGGAGATTTTTCTGAACTTTGTGTAAATGAAAAAAAGCGAAAAGAGATAAAAGGGGGCAGTAGCGTCTTGATCGAGGTGGGCAATTTCAAGGGGAACTATAATGCGTTCTCGCGAAAAGGTATATCTCGTATTGCGGTTTAGACTTCCACGAAGGTCCAGAAAGACGAAGAGTCCAGGCTTTGTGACTGGCCTGTTACACGTATCAGCGAATTCGCCAAGCGAGTATCTAACTTCGTGCGTTGCACCTCTTATAACTTCTGTCGAATTCATCGTTTGCGTGAAGTGGCATGAGAAAAGGAACGCGCGATTTTTCAGAGAAACAAGTCCTTTCGTGATCTCTCTCCGCGTCGAGCAACTTGCAATACGTTTCTCGGATTCCTTGAAAATGTATCGCATGTTATATTCAAACTCGGATTATTCTCGCTTTCTGTGTCGAACAAATTATTCACACTTTTCTTTTATTTGAAATTTAGCACGCGTGCTTGCGATCTTATATTCCATCGCCCCCAATGTTTGTCGATTTAAAGCTTCATAGAATTGCCATGAAATGACGTACAGACTAGATGCACAACTAACCGTTTCAATGACAGGGTCAACGATCGTGATTTCTCGATAAGGAAATTATTGCTGTGTTTTGTCGACTGTCGTGACAAAAAAGCGATGGTCTAACGGACCCTAATGATCGCCGGACGGTTATACTGCAAGCTGCGATCGATCGTTGCTTTTACATTGCAGTCTCATCGATATGCGAAAGAACTTAGAGAAACTAGTACCCTTAAGGTAACCTGCGTCCCCTTACGCCGGCCGACCATAAAGGTTTTTCTCAACTGCACATCTTTTACGGCGGTCTCATGTAGCAAGCATATCCTCATTACCTTGAAAGGACCTTCGTTATCTTCTTACGGCACGAGACAAATTGCGGCGCGTTCATAAATCGAGTTCACTCGCTTTCGAGTTTAACACGTGTCATATTCACATATACAATATGGCTTTATCATTCGATGGCATTGACCCATTTATCTTAAAATTGCCTTAATTTATCTTAAAATATTATAATAAAAATGTAGTTGCGAAATAACGGGAAAACTAATCTGCATAATTATCTGCAATTCAGAAAAGCGGCTGAAGAGATCCGGCAAAAATGGTTAGCGTGTTCTCATGTTATACAATTTATATGGACAGTATTATAATTTATATGTAATACAAGAATAATGTAAGGACGTTGTAAAATTAGAGTTATTTGGAAATGCATACTCAAAATGTGTACTCATTGAAAATATATAAACCAAACGTTTTCTAAAGAGATCTCGATCTCGACCTCGAGTCGAGAGCTAGAGATTTCCAATCTGCTGGTCCAAGTTCCTGGAGAAGTTGTCTAAAAACACTCCACAGGTAGATTCAAGTTTCACGTGAAAGTCGTTCGTTTACATATACTTGTTCTATCGATGCAACACACACCGAGATTGCGGTATCCTTAAGTCGGCATCGATATGCAGGAACGCATCGAGCGCATTGTCCTGCAGCCGTAGCTGCATCGCACCGGACTTCGTCTCGACTTCTTTCGCCGCTTTCCATCGCGTATGTGCGCGCGCGCTCGCTTAGAGAGCTACAGCCGGTATCTCTGTAAACGGAAACGACGATTCCACGGCCATTACTTGCTCGACTTGCGAGCTTCTTCTTGGCTGCCGGTCAGGCCCGGCGTGCCATTTCGATTTATTGACTTCCACCCGTGAATATCCGCCCTCAAACGCAGAGATACGTAACGTGGCTGCTAATACGAGCGAGCTAAAGTAAGATGCAACAAATCGATGTCTTTCTCTTTCGTATGTGAGATGGAAGAAATTATAGCTATGGAAATTTCGTAACAGTATAATCTATATACATAAAGCAGAATGTCTGTCTCTGTTCCCTATTAGCTCGTAAACCTTTTGATTGATATACACTGGTTACGAGAAAAATTTCCATCGGATAAACCAATTAAATAGTGTTTCATTTAATTTAATATCTAGTAAATATATGATACGCGTCAACGTTTCAATCACTTAAATGAGATAAAGGAGCACGAAAAGCGTACGCGGTGTTAACGCGACGTTCTCGCAAATATCTAACGCGATAAGCGAAGATGTCGCGCGAACGAGATTGTAATTATCGTCGAAGATGTCGCAACATCCTGCTTCTGGATAATCTTGCAAATACACAGATAAGTATCCTCCTTGTAAGCGCATAGATAAGTAACAAATAAGCGGCCGGGCGGCGACGAGAACGGATTCGTGTTATGTAAATTATCAGCTCTACGTTGCTCTCGATTTGCAATGACGGTGCCGCGATTCCGGAAGCGTTTTATCAATTCAACGGCACTAAAGGCCCGTCTTCTGTATTTCGCAACTGCAAACCGGTCACCGTAGAAGCCGTAATTTACACGAGCGCTAGTGAACGTGTGGCGCGGTTCAACGATAAGATTGTCGCGCGCTACCGGCGTGGCGTGCAGCAATTTCGCACGTTCACGAAGGCGTACGAAAACGTTTCGCCGCGAGGCGCGACTCGTCGCCCTGCTCGCTAATTGCGACGGTCATCAATTATGAAGTCATTTAAGCGCCAGTGCGGTCGACGTTTCGAGCAAACGCGATTTGCCAGGGAGGACAGGCCTATGCGTCACACGCTTGCGCGCGAGATGATGCACATGATGGATGATTTAGAAAAACGCGATATTTATGTGTGCATTCCGCTAAGATTAATTAATATTGCGAATTTAGAAAGGAGCACATTCTTTATATTTTTAACACTGACATTTATCTTGAAAAATTGAAATAACGTCTTGAATATTATCTACTTGCACAAGTACACCGGCTGTTACATCCTTGCAAATACGAGACCACGAGAAATTGAAAAGTTAAAATCATTTCGACACTAACATCCTGTCTTGGCTCCTATATCCCTTATTACTTCATATTCGTGCTTTCATGTCAGAATTTTATTTTTTATTTTTTTACTTGTATCTCTCTGCACTGAGGATGATCCGGAGTGGATCGAAACGTTTTTTTTACATTTAACATTTACATTTTACATTTAATTATTAACTCGTGCATGACTATTTTAAAGATTACATCTTACCCTCCACTGGTTCTATTATCTACTTAATCTCTGTTTGCCGTTCATGCTTTTTGCCATAGTTATTTTCATGCAAGCAATTCTTTTCATATAAATATCTTTACATTAATCTTTTTTTATTCATACATTGCAGCGTATTTTTTATAAGATTATTAATTAATAGTAGTACGATATTACCTTATATTACCACCTTGTAACATACGAAAACAGCTATTAATTATCACACGTTATAACGTGTTCTACAAGTTTCATTTTTAGGGTTGACTCTCTAATAGTCTCTAACAATGCTAACTAATAACTCAAACAAGCCTGTAGAATCTCTAAAATGTGCCTCGTATTTCGTCGGTAGACATAATATGAAACTCATTGGGGTGCGTCCTAATTGAGCAGGAAAACACAGCTTGTGTGGTCAATAAGCATCATTATTAAAGTATACTAGTTTTCACTCTAAATAATACTCGAGACGAAAATCTGAGTCATATAAGTCATCATTAAATACGACACGTTTGCGCAATTTCTCTGTTGTTTCCCGTTTTTGAATGCTCCGCGCCATACTCTCAATGCTCCAAATTATAATCAGCTCATGAGTTGCGATCAGACGTATCCTCAACAAAGTCGTATTTTTTTAAAAACCAGCTCTCGGAGCACTGACCTTTTTAATATATTTAAATGCTACGGGTATATATATTGTATTAATAACAATATTACGCTTATCTCTTGAGCACTTGTAGAAAACAGAGTTTCGCCTCGGGTATCCTTTTACGAGAAATTTTTATTTTGTCGTTAATTTTGGGGAATTTGTATTTTACCATATTGAATTCATATCGAACAAAGTTCAAAATTCTACCTGAAAGTTTCGACGTGTCTGATGCAAACGGAAACGAAAGTGTCTTACATAAATTTTTGCTCCGTTTCGCATAATAAAGATTATTGAAATGATCGTACATTGTGCGATCGAGAACGTGGGAGTGCAAAGTTCCTACTGGCTCCATGCCAATTTCCGCGGTCTCTTCCTAGCTCGCGAACGAAGTTCTTAATTCGTTCACACGATAAATTAGTAGATGGCGTAGCCGGGCAAGTTTAGATTATATCGGAGTTATAATTCTTCAGTTTTAATATTTAATAACGTTGCTCAATCTATCAGATAAAGTTTCCACGACGACGTGTGACGTATCAATTATTATTCGCAAGTCGTTTGAAGCAACGGCGCTTTCTATACGAGGAGTCTAACAAAATCTCTCAAACTATTTGAGTCAGGAAGTTGAACGCATCCGCGAAAAATTGTCCGTGAATCGAAATTAATAAAGCTGGATCGCCAGGATATTGCACGTGGTCGCAGCGTCCCAGTGTGACGTGAAAGATCGATAGCCAAGATTTCCGTCAAGTTATCGCACAGTATCATCCGGAAATTAACGGATCGCTCGCCGAAATTGCCTCGTAAATCCGAAGGATATTCTCTCGCTCGGCTTGTTCCTGTCTCTCCCTTCACTGCGAGGCATGATGAATGGCCGTATGCGTTCCCCGTGATCTAAACAGACATCTGATATTGCGTCG